TAAATTCTTAATTCTGCCTAATTTAAAATCCATACATATCTTTGGGACACCTCAAACCCCTTAATCATAAAACTTTTAAATAAAATCAATAATCTTTCAAAAAAAACATATAATAATAAAGACATCACCTTCTGCTGGATACCTAGCCACAGTGGCATTCATGAAAATGAAAAGGTTATAAAGCAGCTAAAAATTCACTAGATCTGCCCCCCCTTCTAATGCTAAAATTCCATACACAGACCTATGACCATATATTAAAATGTACATTATGTGAAAGTGGCAATAATCATGGAACAACAACTCAAACTATTTAACAACTTGAACATCGGAGAATGGCTCCCAAGTTATAGGAAAACAAGAAGAGAAGAGGTGAACTTGGCCAGATTCTATATAGTATACACATGCCCCACACATCAATACCTGCTCAAAAATTACCCACCAATATGTATGGCCTGTTAGGAGCTATACACAATTAGACGCATCCTAATAGACTGTGCTGATTTTCACCAGTCCTGGGTGAAATATTACCAAGCAAATAATATGAGTGACCTTTTTGATAGCGCTGGGCCAGATAGAGTATTGGGGGTTCATCTGACATATTGGATTGTTTAAGCAGGTATAACTGTAGCAGTTGTAGCCATCAGAATGGTCTGTCATCTTTGATGGGCTATGGATGTGTGTTTGGCCTGGGAAGATTCTCTCATATCCAGACAAAAAAAAAAAAACTAATGAATAAAAATAAAAAGGTTGATTTGCCACTAATCCCAACAATCCAACCCTGTATATGTAGATTAATTCACAATGAAACAACAAATTTTTGGCATTGGAAAAACTAATAAAGACTGATGTGACAACAACAATCAATACATGTAATATATAGTTTTGTTTAATTCTGTGAGATCAACTTTTTCTCTCCCCTGGGTATTGTTGATGAATATAGATACATTCTTAAAAGGTAACAAAAATGAGTATGCTTGTTGAGTTTTCTTTTATTTAAGCATCATCAGAATCAGTTACGATGTCTTCTTTGCTTTATATTTGTTCATCTGTACAATAAAATATGAATGGTCCACTTTATTTAAGCTTTTAGTATCCATATTCTATTTAAGTCTTTTCTGTGTACATTATTGATAAAAATAAAATAATCAAAATTAATTCTTATCTAGTATATAAAAAAAAAAAAATTTTAAAATATGTTCCACTGAATTTTTGTTGATTGCTAAGAGATAAATGTTATTATTATGGCCTGAAAAAGGATATCAAAATTTTCATTGATGCACATGTTGATGGCCTGTCCAATAGTGAGAATCTCCTGTGTTTGTGTGTGTTAAGGAGAAAAGTGGCATCAATTCTTATTGGTTTATCACGAGTGAATTAACGATAATTATAATAGTTATAATTATTTTTGAGACATGATACAGTAACAGTATAATTAAATTTTTAGATTTACCTTCTCAATAATTGGTTCATATTTACTTTGACACATATTCGTTTTCATTAAAACAGGACCTGGTGTACTTAGCCAGGATGATATTGACTGTCACTGGAAGTTGAAGTGTTGTTCATATGGGGTACAGTTAATAAAGGTGTACAGTAGAAGGTTTATTTTTTTTAGAAAACTTTATCAAAGTTGAATATATTTTAGTGAATTTTATCCTAAAAAAAAATGAACAAAATCTGTGAATGTGTTTGGTTGAAAATTCGCAAAATGTTACCCAATACGATAGATGCCTAAATGTTGGAAAGTACAAAAACCAAGATGAGCATAATGGTGAAAATTGAAAAGTAAGGTTTATGGCATTATCACATTCAAACAAAGGTTCCTCTATAATTAGCAAAGTTAAGCAACATTGGCCCTGGTTACTACCTAGATAAGTGACTGCTTGGGAATACCAGGTGCTGTAAGTTTGTATGTGTAATGGATAATTACTCGGAATTGTTAATCAGAGAGCTGAGTTCAAATTCCAGTTGAATCCATTACATTCACTTACATGGTAATACCCTTGGGAAAGGTATAAATCCTCCTCTTCTCCTCCCAGCAATGGATAAATAACAGGACAGACTGGGTTCTATAGCCTTGGATGGCAACTGGTCTACCACAGAAAGAAATGGCAACCTACTGCGAGAAAAAAACATTTGCCTCGTCAGTCATGTATTGAAAGATGCATGATCACCTAAACATTTATCACACATGGCACATAACTGACTTACTGATGAATCTACCTCTCCACCCCCAACTATGGGTTAATTAGTAAGACTTGTATCACTAAACCATTATCTAAAAAAAAAAAATTCTTACAATCTCAAAATATTTTCTGGCTTTAAATAACCTGTAAATGGCTGATAACCCATTAAAAACAAATCAATCAAATTGAAAATTATTGCACAATGCCATTTCCACATCCAAAAAATTCTAACATAAATTCTTTTTGTTTTTCCAAATAACTTCAATGTTTTCCTTGTTTAGATTTTGAACATTAGGTTCTTGCAACAAGCAAACCTTTTTTTTTTTTTTGCTTGATTTGAGTTTTGTTGGCATTGGTTTTATGTTCGTTGTTCGTTCTTTCATTAGCTTACTTGCACATTATTTTTGCTATTGTTAATATTTCTATAAGATTTTTGCCTTAATATACCCAGTTATGATAAACTAATTTGCTAAGAACTCCACACTTTGCAGTCCTGGATATTGATGATAAACTACATCTGGCAGCAAGGACTCTGATCAGGAGATTGGAAGTTTTGAGGTGTGTGGAACCACCTCTTAATTGTTGTTCCCACATTCACCTTGACCTGGGGTGGTAGCACCTGTTAATGTTTATAGTGACCCCCCAAAAAAAAGAAAACACTATGAAAGTATAAATATACCAGCAATATATTTTTATATAAAAAAGACCGACAATACATAACCAGCAATACATTTTATCTGTAGTTGAAGTCAGACAATCACATTCAAAATATATTTAGTTGAAGCCATAAAATTATTTTGATTTTGCATTAAATAACATATAGAAGTGTTGCTATAGCACTAAATTAAATCAACCATTCACACTTTGCAATGGAATGATTAATGACGATAACAACAGTAGCTTCTTTGAATCATCTTTACTAACAATGGAAACATTTTTTAATTTTTAAATTCCCACAAAATTGAGCATTAAAAATTCATTCAATTAGTCTAAAGCAGGAATATATCCATTACTGATACTTCATCTATTTAACGAATGAAAGGAGAATTCTGAGTCTTAACACCACCTTTTGATGTGTACCCAAATACCAATGCCTTTAAAGTCTTAACACCACCTTTAGATGTGTACCCAAATACCAATGCCTTTAAAGTCTTAACATAGTTCATTCCTCCAACCATTACCAAAAGCATAAATTTTAAATACCTTCTTAGGTGTACAAAATTAATGTTGCAATAATAAATATTCTCAATTTGGTATTTAGGCTGTTGACACAATTATTTAGTCCTTTCTTAATAGTAAGTCTGATCAGTCTGATAAGGTCAAATTGGCAGCTAATCTAAAAAATGACCTGCATTGTGGGATAAAAAAAAAATGGTTTAATTTTAACACTTCCAAAATGAAACTGATCTGAAAGAACCCTTTGTCCTCTCTCCATCAGTATGGCCAATGCTAACCTCCAGGAGAGTAACTCATTGCACCTTCTCAAGCTAATGTTTTCCACTGACATGAAATGGAAAGATTATATTAAATCAATTCCTATGTCTGCTGCTAGAAAAGTCAGTTCTCTATGCCATGCTAGACAATTTTTCTTGCTCAACAGTCTTAAATATTCACAAGTCTAGCTTTGAATATTGCCACATATGGCCTGGTGCTCCTGCTATATATTTAGTGATCCTTTATAAAATCCAAAGAATCTGCAATATTGTTGGTCTTGACCTGGCATTTCAGCTTCAGTCACATTCTCATCACTGTAACGTACTTTCTGTAAGTTCTATGCTAACAGTTTCTTCTATTGCATTTCTTGCTTATGGAACTGTTTTCCAGCTTCTTGCTTTTCCAGTCAACTTTGATCTTCAAAAATTTAAATGCATTGTCAGTCATTATCTTCTGTCTTAATTCTTGTTCTGCTGTCAGTGTTTAATAATGTTTCTCTTATATTTTTTATACTCAGTACCCCCTTGCATGTTAGTGGCTTTGTTGCCTTGTTTGGGGTGAAATGATTAAAAGAAAATGACATAATTACAAAAATGAGAGGAAAATGGACAGGGAGAGAAGATATAATCACAATAAATTGTAATTTGATAGAAAGAAAGAAAAAATAGAAAAAGGTGACAAATTTGCATTGTGAGTTGTGTAACAAAGAGTTTTTATTCCACTTAGGTTTGTTATATTCTCTTATGTGCAAATACCCTTCAGAAAAGTATGGATTCATCTTTTCTCCCTCAGCTATGGGATACAGAGTAGGACATGTATCTGGAAATAATCATTATCTCTAAGATATTGACTGGAAAGCAAGCATTTAGAAGAGATTTCCACAAGCAAGAAGTGCAAGAGAAGAAACTGTTAGCATAGAACTTATGCTTACATCTAGTCATTTCAACTCTAAAATGATGAGATCTAACTGCCAATCGAGTAATGCACTTCATAAAATCTAAATCATGGAATTTCATCAGAACAATTACCATGAAAATATTTATAGAAAAGGCATAGGGAAGCCATGTTATGGCAGTGGGAAAGTAACTGAAGCAAAGATGCCAGGTCAGGTGCAATAACATTGAAGATTCTTCTTTGTATTCTATCAAGAATCTCTAAATAGACAGCAGTACCAGTTGTGATAGGATGACTATGTCTTTGCTTCCTTTACATTTTCCTCTCTTTTTAAAAATGTCTGTTTTTATAGCATTGCATAAACTTCTTATATTTCCTGGAAATAACTTACAGGCAGAAGTTCCAAGTTACAAAAGAAAATAGTTATCTTGAATTTTCTTTAGTTTTGAACTGAAAAAAAATACATTTTTCTGTTTATCGTTTCAGCTGAGAATAATAAATCATTGCCAGTTGTGAACAAAGGTGAATCAAACAATGCCCCACAGCGTTACTTCCGGATTCCTTTCACACGTCCAGCTGGAGAATTAAAGGCAGACAAAAAGCATGGTTGGTGGTTTGCTCATTTTGATGGTCGTTGGATTGCTCGTCAGATGGAAATCTGTGATGATAATCCATCAATTGTACTTATCGCAGGTAAGACAAGTTCTGTCCAAATCTGATGTTGCAATTCGTAATAGAATTGGATTATCTTGGATTCATTTTGCTTTAGCAGAGCTTCATTTTAAACAAAATTTAAACTGGTTCACTTGTAAAGGGTTAATTGTTTTGGGAAATAATTTTTATAAATTAATATTCTTCAGAAAATATTCTTACAACTTTTCAGAAAAAATATATTTTTTAGCATTTTAGAAGTGGGGTGGTTCTGTTTATAATATCAATAGTGCCAAATTGATCTGTAACTTTTAAAGAGTTATTGAACTTAGCTGTTTTATGTATGAAAACTTACTGGGAGGAGGATTAAAAAGATTTCTTTTAAATAAATAACAAATGGATACATACAGTGTTAATTGAAGAAGAAAAATCTACATGATAAAATTATGTATCCATTTATTTTTCATTTAAGATAATTATTAACCTCAAATGTTTGTACATGTGCTTCTAGAAAAAAATCCCATACAAACAAAAAAAAAAGAAAAAATATAAAATTTCAGAAAATTAAAAAAAATATACAGGTGGATGTTTGATACATGTCACCACATTTTGAAACTTGACATTTATAGATAACAGCTAAGTCTAATAACTCTGTAAAAGTCAGGAATAGATTTTACACTAGAAAAAATATCAATATTTTTGAGTCTGACAAATGTCACGGCCTAAGGAAAATCTAAAGAATTCTAATCTACAAAAACATTTCCTCATAAACTTTTTTGATTTTTTAAAAAGTTGGGATTGATTTGATACTGTATCAATATTATGAACAGGACACTCCACTTCTAAATTCATAACAAATCAGTATTTCTTAATTCTAACAAGTGTTGTGATCTAAGGAAAATATAAAGAATTCTAATCTACAAAAAACATTCCCCCAAAGATTCTCTTTTAAACCAATGAACTTAACTTTGATTTAAGCAGTACCATTTAAAGAAATGTATAACACTGGATAGGAAAGATTTGAATATTGGGTTAAAAAAATTGTTTTAGACTAAATCAAGTACACTAGTGATAACATTGGAGTTGACACCAATTCCTTAGATTATAAAGATGGTTTTTATTCAGTATTTTACTTTGTAAAAAAAAAAGTCCAAAGTATTCACAATCAGTTTTTGTGTATAAAAGTTCATACTGAAATTCTTATTTTATTTGCTGAATGTAATATTTTCAAAACAAAACTGAAAAAGTGATTTATTGCCAATCCATAAGTGAAGTGTTTTAGTTTAATTTTTCAAAACACTTAATTTTACTTAGCAAGGCTACCATTGCTTTCAATAGTTACAGTATATTTTCTTAATAATTTAAAATTAAATTTTGTTTACCCTAATAATCTAGTAATATATTTATTTACACCTCAACATATTTTAACTAAGCATTCAATTTAAAAATTAGTGTTTTCAACAATTTTTACCAGAAAAAAAACCCTTCAACTTAAATGAATTATTTCATTTTGATTATTCAAACATGTGTAAAATCAGATGTTGAAATATCTTTGCTTTCTACAATGATTCAGAATTTGTACTTATGACCTGTCAAAATTTTGGATTAGACAAATGATAAAGGTGACCTTGTCTTAACAAAACATTTTTTTATAAATATAAATATAAATAATGCTATCAAATAAGCTAATTTCAAATCTAAGCTCGGAATTATGTCAGTATGTCAGGTTCTTGAAAAAACTACATAGATTTAAATTTCCAGTATATTTAATACTGAGCTGGTGGCATGGTACTGATGGTCTCAAAGCTGATTTAATAGACAATATTCTAACAGCAAATCAAAACATACAATGCATCTTAAAATTCACTTCTTGATTCTATTTTTAAATTGATCTGATTACCATAGTGACAGATTTCTTCCAGAATATAGCCAAGATGAAATAAAGATATTAAGGCTGGCTTAATTGAAACATGATGGAAACTACTGCTAATCCCATGCTAGGGTAGCATAAGAATTGTATTTTAATATTGGATAACTTTCATATGGTTAAAAAGTTAAATATACCACATCACATATTTCCATACAAATTTTTTTCTGGCCTCCTTGTTTTTTGATGTATATTCTAAATTAAACATAATTTAATAAAAAAGTTTATTAATGAACAGTTTTTTCTCTCCAATTTTTTTTGCCACCCTCGTTATCTAATGTACACACACAAACCTAATTTTGTTTTTAAGGAATTGATGACATGCAGATGTGTGAACTAAGTCTAGAAGAGACTGGCCTAACATTAAAGAAAGGCGCTGAGATCCTGGAGAATACTTTTGAAGATGAATGGCAGAAGCAGGGAGGTGACCAGTACCTACGCCAAAATTATCAACGTGTATCGTCCAAGTTTTTACAGCGTAAACTCAACCTAATAAAGTAAATGAAGAAAAAGTTAACCACCTTTCCACAGTCCATATATAACGTAAATCACAAAGCCACACAAGGAAGATTATTCATTCCTTATTGTTTAATTAAACCAAAAATAAAAATTGTCCAAAATTACAAAGATGCTACCCTCCACATTTTTTTTTTTTTAGTAACTTAAAAAAGAAAAAAAAAAGAACTTATGAAAACATGCACATCAAAAATAGTTTTTGCATATATTTACACAATACTAAGTTTTTGGTTAATGCCAGCTACATCAATATGTTGCTTTTTGTATTCCAATAATGATAAAATACAAACACATACAAGTATTAACAAGACTTCTTTTTAAGAAAAAAAAAAAGAAAAGCTGTTAATTTTTTTTTTTTTTTTTTTAACATTTGAAAACTTTTGGTCATTTATCATCTGCTACTTATATTTTTTCTCCTTCAAGACTAACTTCCACTAATTTTGAGTTATTTTGCATACATGTCTACATATATTGTATTTCCTGAAGTATAGACTTACAAAAATAAAATCTTTTTTTTCTCTTTTCACTGCTTAAAACTCAACATCCAAAATGGTTACCACTTGTAGTGTTTAATATGTCAAATAAAGAAGAGTCTATTTGAAAATGTTTTCTTATGTTCTTTCTATCCAAGTAACTAAATCACCCAAAAGATGTGCCAGGGGTGAATTGACAGCATCAGGTCTTTTAACATCACATCATAAAATGAATGCTGTGTTTCAATCTAACAGCAAACTATGTCTAGCCTTCATTGCATTGTGTTACTTGAACCAAGAATAACTAATGATATTAGTAGCAGTTTCCTTCTAAGGAAACATTTGGTATTCAGTGTCTTAGCAGTCAGCACTGCTTTCGGCTGAAATTTTTTCAAGTCAGCTGACATCATTTTTTCCAATAGTAATGGAGGGGGTGTTTCCTTCCAGTGGCATAGCTGGGGTGGGGGGTGGCTGGGCGGACCACCCTGGGTGCCAGCACAGGAGGGGTGACACAATGTCACCACAAACAAAATTTTTCAACCATGCTAAGTTGCCAAAAATAGTCTGAAAACAGTGGTGGAGACACAGGGTTTCGCAGGCGGTCATATGACCTCCCAGAAATAATTTATGACCCCCCAGTTTCCCCCGTCAGAAATTTTCTAATAAATTGTCGGGAAATTTGTGAGTAGGAGAAATAGCAATGTTTTCAGCTTTCCTGTGTTTCAGTTGCTACAATCTTGGTTACTAACAAGAGACATTGTTGTAACATTTTATCGGATGATATGGTGTTTTAACTCTGCATCATTAATAACAACAAAGCGAAATACGAAGCCAAAAGTGCAACAATTCAGTCTTGCCTGTGTATCAATTCGCTGAGATACAATTTTCCATTGAGTGAGCGATATACTTTTGAATATATCTACTAGTGTTGGGACGATTAATCGGAATCGAGAATTGGAACTTTTTGGGGTATCGGAATCGGAAAAATTTGTGCTTATTTTCCGATTCAAAAAACGATTCTTTTAAATTTTTAACTTAATTTTCCATTATTGGTACTAATGATAAATATTTATTGTTTTTAAATTATCATTAAAACTAAAATCATAATAACATCAAAATAAGATGTATTTTTATTTTACTTGTATAAAAGAACAAAAAAATAAACTTTGCATAAATTCTCTAGGTAACCTTTCAAAGAATGCAGTTGATTTACAATGTTCCAAAAAATGCTTAAAAATTAAATAGAACATTTTTGTCAAGAAAAATACTTTCAAACATCATTGATAATTAAATGGTACCCAGAAAATGATGCACCGGAAAATTGGACACCGGAAAATTAGCAACAGAAAATTACGTCAACCATGAGCCAATCGAGACTGTCGGATCTGGCTGTGCTGTCCATTGAAAACGAGCTTACAAGACTGACAGATTTTGACGATGTCATTGACCAGTTTGCCACAATGAAAACAAGAAAACATTCATTCTAAGACCATAGTATCGAATGTCATTCTTTTGTGTATTGCCGTGTTTTGTATTTAGTTGTTCTGAAAGTGAACAGTTGCATTTTAAAAATCTTTTGATTTGAACTGATTATTTTGTGGTATTGGATTTTGTCTTGGATCATACATGTAAACAGTAACATACCGGTCAGTAGAGTAAAGTAGAGGTAGAGCATTTATGAAAATTTAGCTACAGCTAACCATTCAGCATAGGGTGAATCGGGGTCATTGGGGTGACATTTGAGCGGACCGCCCCGGGTGACGTTTACATTAGCTATGCCACTGTTTCCTTCCTAAACTTTTATTTGAAGTTATGCAGAATGTCAACATCTTCATTATGTTATTATTTTCTCTTCAAGTTACATGTGATATTCATTTTAATTGTTGTGGTTATTGAAAGTCCTTTGAGTATGGTGCCAATATAGAGGAAGAGATCAGCATGCCAGCCAATAGGAAACATTTCTGCTTATTTCTTTTGTCTGTAATAATACAGTACCAGGATTCTTATGAAAACATTAACATTGTTAGAGCACACACACACAGATGCGGTCTATTCTTTAGGTCAGAACTTTATTCTTTTCTTAAAAAAACAAAACTGATTTGCTGCTGATGAATGATGGTGTAATAGCTAGCAGCCTTGAAGAAGAAATTGGAGAGTTGGATTCAAATTCCAATCAAGTTTGCTACATTTACTTACCCATGTATGAGTTTGTCACCCCCACCCAGCTATGGATAAATCGCTGGACAGATTGTGCCCTATAATACAAATTATTACATTAACCTTTATCACTCTGTATTTAACTTCATTTGCTGGGCAGAAAGTTTATCCTACAACTGAAGATGAATGATCCTTGAATTTGAATTTGTTTGAATTTCATAGTTGTGTTGTTATATCCTGCTATGGCAACAGAAAACACTTTTGAGTGAAATTAACAATAAGGATACTGCAATTGAAAAGCCTTGGAATAGAATGAAGTAGAAAGGGAAGTTATATTAATAATGTAGAGTGTTAAAGGTTAAACTGATAGAGCGAAAACTAATTTTCAGAACTAAATCTCTCCATAGATTCTATTCTTTAGACACAGCTTATATGTTAGACTTTTTCTCTAATCCTCCCTTCTTAACAGCACAAAGATTATAATAATAATAATAATAATGTGGGGGAGGGAGTGTCATTTTTTTGCATCAAAAGTGCATAGAAGTACCTAAAATATTAAAATAAAACTAAAAGACATCTTGATGAATAAATATTGAAATTTAACTAATGTCTAATGTAGTAAAATGTTCAAATTCAAACATCCTTCTCTATTCAGTAATGGGAATCAGTGCCAAATTTATATATTGGTAAAGTTCATGGGTCTATGGGATTTATTTAGTTAAAAAGGGATGTCAGTGGATTTAATGTACTCTATATTTTAAACAAATAAAAAACCCAATCAGCAATTTCTATAAAAAAGTCTATAAATTAAAGATATTTTCAGAAAGACATGTTAGCCTATTAGCGCTCAATATGTAATATTGCCACACTATTTTTGACTTAGTGTACCTTCTATCTACATCTGTTTGAGGACCCCTGCTGATTAAATACAACTGCTGAAGGGACCAGAATGGTAACCAAGATACTAGCAACTTTATTGAAAACTGGTAGTAGACCATGAACATCATTCTTGTGAGCTGTTTCAAAAATATCATCTGCCTGGGCCTGACAGATGTATTTGGTTTGTGCCTTTATGCAGAGTTACCTCCCCTACTGTTGTTATTATTATTATTATTATTATTATTAATATTATTATTATTATAATAATAAAAAAAACTTAAAAGAAAAAGCTATTTTGTGAACTACTATAAAATACACAATGTTCTGTCAGTGACTGAGAGATATAGCTGTTCTAGATTATAATAATAATTAGACAAGGCAGTAGCTTTGGTTGTCATACTAGTGCATGGAAAATAGTTAAGGACTTGAGGTATTGAGAGACTTAATTCTGAACAAAAGAGTAAAGATATTGGGAGAGTAGTTAATGGGATTAGAGTTTGATGGAAAAAATGTCAGGTTTAAAAATATTAATTTAAACCCATAAAATAATGAGAGTCTCAATTTGAGTTCAAACTCTTCTAAGTAAGATTTAGTAAGATTCAGAATACCCCCACTCCAACTCTGTAAGCCCAAGAAAGTTAGCATGATGTGACTAATGAGTTTGTCAAAAATTCACAGGATTTTTGGTAAGTTTAGGGTTTTTTTTTTTTTTTTAGTAACCTTTCAGGCAAATTCACATTGATTTCAATGTGACCATCTTGGTTATATTATATTTGAGAGGCTAATTGATTATAACTATTCCTGGTCTGAAGTCTATATAAACAGAGTGTACATGTACAGAAATTTAAGAGAGAGAGAGTGAGTTTGAGTAGAGTTACCCAGGCCTCAAAGTGTAGTAAATGTGGATGAATTGGGTACCAAGGGAAAAAGGGCATGCAGGAAAAGTTTGGGACAAATGAATAAAACTCTTAAACTACCAGGGGCCACCCCAGTAATTAGGAAAAGGAAAAGGGTGGCTCAAAAGTAATTAGGAAAAGGGTGGCCCAAATATTTCCAATTCAGGCCAAAAATTGAGTTCTTCAAATCACAAACTCTGTTGAAATTCAAAACCTCAGGTCGTGAAGGGTCTCACTTTAACTATGGCATTTTGAAGAAATGAAATTGATTTCCTCAATTCAAAGTTTCAGATATTTTAAACTGAAATTAAAACAAATTTTTGATGTCCCAAAGTTTTTGTGTTACTTTAAATATAAATTAAAAACTTAAAATCATTTTTTCATTTATTTTAAAATTTGAATTTTTAACTATTCCCTCTTCATCCAGACACAAAGCCCAATGCTGAATGTTCAAGCACCAGTTGAAGGGAAGATTTTCAATTGCATGATCATCCTGATTCCAGAAAGTTATATCTATCTAGAGCGAGGGTAGAGAGGTTTTAGATGAACAGACATAATTTAATGTTTATTTATTTAGAAC